GGAACACCTGGTCAGTAGCAGTTACCATAGAGACTCAGATATAATGTCAACACCTTTTGGGTCTCCTGACTGCTATGACACACAGAGCTCCTGGAGCCAAATGCTGTCACCTGGCAAGTGGCCCAAATAACAATGCTTCCATATCTCAGGTTTCCCTGAGACTCCACAGGTGGCCTCTTCTTTGTGGGCTAGGTAACCATGGGAACATATGGTCAGAGTTATGGTAACCATAGAAACATAAAGACGCGGGGGTTTGGACACCATGTGCTCAGTCACTTCTGAATGCTACTACAGTATTTCCATATTATGCCATTTCACTCATCAAGCAGAGCCAACCACAATTCGGCTGCTTTTCCAGATCCAAAATCAATCACAATAGAGCAAACACTGACTTAAAGAAAGAAAAAAACTACAATATTATGTACCATTATACACAACCGTTCAAAAGTTTGTGGTCAGTAAGATTTGATTCAAAATATGAAGAAGCACAACTCAGCATTAGAGTGATTTTTGAAGGATCATGTGACTGAAGACTGGAGTAATGATGCTGAAAATTCAGCTTTGCATCACAGGAATAAAATACAATTAAAAATAATAATATATAAGTTATAATAATAATAATAATATTTAACAATATTACTGTTATTTTGTATTTTTTTTAATCAAATAAATGCAGCTTGGTGAGCATAATAGACTTCTTTTAAAAACATCTTACCAGCTCCAAACTTTTGACTTTTGAATGGTTGTACTTTTATAAACAGGATGAATCATTGCAAATAATGTACTTGAGTCAAAAAAGTCAGTCTACGTTTGTCTTGACAATTAAAGGGATAGAGCACCCAAAAATGCAAATTGTGCCATTAACTCACCATTATGTTGTTCCAAACATTTATGTACTACTTTGTTATACAGAACTCAAAGATGTTTTAAAAAACATAATTGGACCCATTGACTTTAATTGTATTGAAAAAGACAAAACCTTCTTTTGTGTTCCTCAGAAGAAAATAAATCATACTGGCTTGGAACAACATTTAGGGTGAGCAAATGAGGACAGAATGTTCTCTCTTTAATGGTTTTTAGTTGTGAAAACTGAGCTTTGCACTCTATCGGCCTACAACATGACACATGATTGTACTCCAGGTAATGGCTGATTTTTATTCTCTAGGGTGATGGGGCCCTTTATTGTCATGCTGGGGAAGATTGCAGGAGACGTGCTGCGTTTCCTTTTTCTCTATATAGAGATCTACGTTCCATATGCCTGTGCTTTCTGGATCATATTTGGAGGTACATCACAAATACTTATAGTATATAATTGTACAGTATATGTAAAGCTGCATGATATATAAATGTTGTGCTTACTGGTCTCAGGTTTAGCTGAGGTGCCAAGTATGAAGACGGTTCCTGAGCTGCTGTACAGCCTGTACCGTATCACCCTGGTGGATGAGTATGAGTTTGATGCCATGCTGGATGTGGACGCAGTGATGGCCTACCTGCTCTGTGGAACATTTCTGACCCTCTCTGCTATTCTCTGTGTTAATTTACTGATTGCTCTGCTTTCTGATACTTTCCAAAGGTATTAATTAGCCATATACACTTTTATGATTTGTTTACTAGGGGTGTAACAATACATTGATATGGATTGATGCATCGATCAAATGACTGACATGATGTATTAATGCAATGCATAAAGACTGGAGTAATGTATGTATGTATGTATGTATGTATGTATGTATATATATATATATATATATAGATAGATATATGTGCTGGAACACACATGCTGGAGATTTACTACTAATCACAGAACCGGCTTTACTTATGAGATGCGCATGAAAATCGCATTTGATTATTTGCACAGCCCTATATATATATATATATATAGGAGCACCTTTATTGTGATGTAGATACCTATTTCAAATTGTCACTGAGTTGTCATCAAATAATTTATGAGCTTTATTTTTTCATTTTTTTTACAAATACCTTTTTATTTACCTTATTTTGTTGTGTCCTAATGGGGATTCTAGGATATTATATAGTATAATTGGCACATTTTAGAGAGTGCAAAATACTTTCTTGACTTTTGTCATTGTTTGTCTCATTGCATATGATCTCATGTGTGACATTACTATATATACTGTATATATATATATATATATATATATATATATATATATATATATATATTGTGGATACAGGATTTGCAATTTGAAATTAAATGTTTGTTATATTTAAATTGAATTTGTGAATTATTAAAAATTTAACTGGTTGTGTAAAATAGGTACATAACATCGTAATACTGATATATCGATCACAGGCCCATGAATCTAATCATATCGTAATTGTATTGTGGCATGTTTAGAGGTATCTGTCATTATTGCATTGCTGGCTAAAGGTGTGGTTACATTAGCTGTATTTTGGTGAGAATTTATTTGGCCAAAAATGGTCCATTGTCAATAGCTTGGCAATGTATGCAGCACAGCTCACGTAAAAGTCACTTTCAAACCTAGCATCTCTCTAGAATTCGCCTGACCAACTTACACATGAGAGAAATCTGCACAGGCAACTTTTTTCTTGCCCTCATGCGAAACTTCAGAATGCATGGATTCCTACTGAAATGCTTGAATTTCGCCTCCTACATTTTTCCAAGCAACGGTAAATGTGACCACACCTTAAAGGGATAGTTCACCCCAAAATTTTCATTTTGTCTTCATTTACTCACCCTCCACTTTGTCTCTAAACCTATATGCATTTCTTTCTTCTGTTAGATATTTTCTTCTAAAGATATTTTGAAGAATGTTGGTAAGCAAATAGTTGACGGTAGCCATTGACTAAGTATAGTCTTTTTTTTTCTTACTATGGAAGTCAGTGGTTACCGTCAACTGTTTCAGTGAACTATGCCTTTAAGAGTATTGATGCATCATAATAAAACGTCCAATTTACACCCCTAACGTTAATGGTGCTTTTTGTCCTTTTTGGGAATGATACTGTAGATGTGTTCACATTGTATTGAAAACACCTAGAATTGTTTGCGTTTACAGGGTCTATGACAATGCGCTGGCCAATGCTGTGATGCAACAAGCTGCTATCATTCTGCAAATAGAGGAATCCATGCCTTGCCTGAGACGTTGCTATGACAACGAGTACATCCACCAGCATTGTGCCCCGCTTGGAGAATTCTATGATGATGATGTCACCACTAACCCAGAACAACATGCTGAGATGAAGAAGCTCACAGAACAGATCAAGGTGTCTACATCGACAACTACTGTATGTTGCATTTTTCACATGTCCTTTCTGAAATCTCAGAATAACTGAAACTTTGCAAGTTCCGCAGGATACTTTAGATACATATCTGAACATCCAAAGAGAGACACTCTCACCACAGTTAGCCTATGCAGGTGCCGGAGAAGATACCAAAAGGTTGGTTGATAAACATCTAGCAACTTCTTGATCTTAGATTGTTACATCATGCTATAATGCATTTTGACGTGATTTTCCTGGAAAGGCTGCTTATTATTATTATTTTTTACAAAAGGAGAAGTGCTGCACTTCCAGAGAAAGAAGAACATCTCAAGACTCTTCACAGACTTAAGAAAGACCAGCAGAAGCACAGTCAGGACCTGAGTGAGCTCAAGGCTGAAGTGAAGGAACTCCACAGTTTGCTGCTCAGTCTGATACAGTCCAAGACATGTAAGAGAGCTCCGCACTTATAATGAACGTCTGTGAAAGTATGCACAAACATGCATGGGATCCTTGTAAGCCTCGTTTTTATTGAGGCGGTCATTGACGTTCAAATATTTGTCTATGGTAAATAATGTGAACCATATGCTATAACCTGGAATATCCCTTTAAGTGATTTGACTGATGTTTCTGCAGCTACTGATGATGACAAGAAACCCTCAGTGACAAAGCAACCTAGAGCGGACAGTAAAACCTCTGAAATTAATTAACGATTTGCGGAAATCAACATTTATTTCCACTCGGAGTGGAAAGGACTTATGCAGCAAGTCATGATTATGTAACCTACCTTTGTTGTTCCTTAAATTATGCCATTGCACCAATATAGATTTGCATCTGTGTATATTAAAGTGACTTTATTTTAATTATTAAGATTGTAACTATACAGTGTGAAACAAGACTAGTCTCTTTATCTGAACCCCAGAAAACTTAAAAGAAATAGTTTGCACACATGCATTTATTTATTTATTTTTCTCACACTCATGCCATTCAAAACTCATATGCTGTCAATGCACACTATACTGGTCAGGTTTGGAATCATTAAGACTGTTGTTGAGCATCACATCGATGTTTCTTGAGCGGCATATCAGCATATTAGACTGATTTCTGAAGGATCATGTGACACTGAAGACCGAAGAGCAATGATGCTGAAAATTCAGCTTTGATCACAGGAATAAATTACATTTTCAAATATATTCAGATAGAAAAAAACAGTTATTTTCAATTGTAATAATAATTCACAGTATTGTTGTTTTACTGTAGTCTCAATCAAATAAAAGCAGCCTTGGTGAGCATGAGAAACTTCATCCGAAAACATGAATGATTTCACATTTCTGACCTGTAGCCTAGTGTATATTTTGTGAAACAGAAAAGGAGTCATTACTTGTTACGCACATCGTCTGTGGTATGATAGCTTTGTGTGAGGAACAGACAGCTTATTGTTTATCAGTGAGTTACTGCTAATCTCCCTTCTCTGAAATCTCATTTGTGTTCAGATAATGACAAACAGCTGCATTGAGGATTCTTCAAAAATCCACTACCCTTTAAAGCCTTCACGTATATGACACCTTAAAATACTGCCTATGTAGGGCGCTTCCTAGAGAAATAACAGCATAGGAGGTTGGGAGGGACAGTTTCAGTATTACGTGAGCAATTCCTTTAAAACGCATGTAACAGGGAGCGGCTACTATTGTAGTTGGTCAGCACAGGGCAACAGCAGGGATACTTTCCCATTAGTCAGCTCTGAAAAGTTTCCCAGCTCCTCGGCGGAAGTAGGACGGAGCGGCTGGTTTCCGCTTCCCTCGCTGCTGCTTCTGCTGGTCACTGAAGTAAAGATGGCGGCGGCCGAGACCGATCGTGAAGCACCGTCCGCTCTGTGTAGCGAATTCCTCCAGTTCTCCGCGAAGGACACCGCTGCGGTAGGCGACAGTCGTATAAAGACTTTCTAAAATGTCTCTCCTGATGAACTATATGAGTTCGGTTGCGGAAGTCGGTGCGTTCGCGATGAATTTGGTGTTTTTTCTCGCTCCTGGTCTCGGGTTGTTTTGCTCAAGTGTCGTCCTGCTAACGCGCTAACACCTAGCCTGTGAGGTTGTCACACCTCAAGCTCCAAAACACGCACACTTGACACTCAATTTACTCGAATATTTATTTAGTCTAGCTACAAGTAAAGCATTCGTTCGTTTCTCGAGTTTTGGGTTTAACTTGTGGCTTTGCTGAGAAAGAAACTATCTGGCAAGAGTTGGATAAAAACAACATTGGCTGCTTTGTTCATCATCTTTACGTTATGTCAGTTAGTTAATGGTATAATTATTAACAGCTCTTTTAACGATGCTTACACTGATCTAGGCACGCAAATAATCAAGCTGAGCTTGTGAATTGGCGTAGTTCTTCTGCATTCCTGTAAATACATTAGTATTAACCGTGTTTTTTTGGATTCTTTCTCTGCGTAGCAGGTGCTGAAGAATGTTGTGGTTGCCCAGTTACATGATTTTCGTTTTGTGAATTGGCTAATCCACTACATTTACATGCCACATCTATCTCAAAAACATAAGTAGGTTTGTTTTTACGGAGTAGCTCAGATGGTGGTTATATTAAACCACATGCAAGACCTCACTTTGCTGCGGTTTGTATCGTCTGATAGACCGAAAGACAGCACTGCATGCTATCCTGTGTATTTCTGACTGTATATTAGACACCATGTGCATGAAAAACACAAGTTACTTTACGCTATAGGTCCGTGTTAATAAAACTACAATCTGATCTACAATCTCAAATCAACATCCCATAGGCTTTTATACTGTACAGACCGTATATTCTATTGCCCTACACCAACCCTACCCCTAAACCTACCCCTTACAGGAAACTTTGTGCTATTTCAGATTTTCAATACACTCCACTCCACTCTGTGTGATTTTATAAGCGTTTTGAAAAGTGGGGACATGGGGTAATGTCCTGAAAAGTGACCTTCTCCTTGTAATACCTATGTTATACCTTTGTCATTATACAAATTTATGTCCTCATTTGTCACAAAAACGCGCACACATATACACATACACACACATATACATACACACACACACATACATATACATACAGTGGGTACGGAAAGTATTCAGACCCCCTTAAATTTTTCACTCTTTGTTATATTGCAGCCATTTGCTAAAATCATTTAAGTTATTTTTTTTTCCTCATTAATGTACACACAGCACCCCATATTGACAGAAAAACACAGAATTGTTGACATTTTTGCCGATTTATTAAAAAAGAAAAACTGAAATATCACATGGTCCTAAGTATTCAGACCCTTTGCTCAGTATTTAGTAGAAGCACCCTTTTGATCTAATACAGCCATGAGTCTTTTTGGGAAAGATGCAACAAGTTTTTCACACCTGGATTTGGGGATCCTCCTTCATTATTATTTATTATTGTTTACCCACAAGAAAATACTGTTACTGTGAAATAAGGTTTTGGTCACATCACACTAGGGATGTAACGATTAACTGCGAGCCAGTTGAAAATCGATTTAAATATGTGACGATTCAAGCAAATCACGATTCAATTAGGGGTAGGAGTTTATATAATTGTATGTCTGAGGGGAACTTACTATTTGCGTCTTTCAATGGTATTTTTTCTTTTCCTCTTGCCTCTGTATAATACATATTAAAGTTCATAAGTGCAGGCTGTGCAGCACTGCTTTGTTTGCAGCGGAAATCAAGGAAACTTTAAGCGCCACCTGCTGGCAGAGAGTGAATCTGTGTCTCATACAGCTCGTCTGCTGTTTCAGTTTCATGCAGATATTTTTATGTATAGTTTCACAAAACTGAAGTCAAACCATTCTGTTTTTGCCTCAAATTTTGAAATTATACAATGCAATTTAGATCAAAAACTGCTCATGTTGCATGTATGCAGCATCTTCGTTTGGATCATGATTAAAATGCAGTGGTTGCCTTAGTTTGTTTATATGAAGAGATTT